TCTTGTGGCAGGGAACTTTGCACCACCCCTGCAACGCTGCCCTGCGCTCCGCCGTCTACCTCATGGTGCAAGCGTGGGTTCTGTGTGCAGCCGCCGCCTCGGCCGGACCCCAGAACTGCCCGTCCGTCTGCTCCTGCAGTAACCAGTTCAGCAAGGTGGTGTGCACCCGCCGCGGCCTGGCCGAGGTGCCCCAGGGCATCCCGTCCAACACGCGCTACCTGAACCTCATGGAGAACAACATCCAGATGATCCAAGCCGACACGTTCCGGCACCTGCACCATTTGGAGGTGCTGCAGCTGGGCAGGAACGCCATCCGGCAGATCGAGGTGGGGGCGTTCAACGGCCTGGCCAGCCTCAACACCTTGGAGCTGTTCGACAACTGGCTGACCGTCATCCCCAGCGGGGCCTTCGAGTACCTGTCCAAGCTGCGGGAGCTGTGGCTGCGCAACAACCCCATCGAGAGCATCCCGTCCTATGCCTTCAACCGGGTCCCGTCGCTGATGCGTCTGGACCTGGGCGAGCTCAAGAAGCTGGAGTACATTTCGGAGGGGGCTTTCGAGGGATTGTACAACCTCAAGTACCTGAACCTTGGGATGTGTAACATTAAGGACATGCCCAACCTCACGCCTCTGGTGGGGCTGGAGGAGTTGGAGATGTCGGGGAATAACTTCCCCCAGATCAAGCCGGGGTCTTTCCACGGGTTGAAGTCGCTCAAAAAGCTGTGGATTATGAACTCCCAGATCAGCCTGATCGAGCGCAACGCCTTTGACGACCTCACGGCCCTGGTGGAGCTCAACCTGGCCCACAACAACCTGACCTCGCTGCCGCACGACCTCTTTGCCCCCCTCCGGTACTTGGTGGAGTTGCATTTGCATCACAACCCCTGGAGCTGCGACTGCGACATCCTGTGGCTGTCCTGGTGGCTGCGGGAGTACATCCCCACCAACTCCACCTGCTGCGGGCGCTGCCACGCGCCCATGCACATGCGGGGCCGCTTCCTGGTGGAGGTGGACCAGACCTCGTTCCAGTGCTCGGCGCCCTTCATCATGGACGCCCCTATGGACCTCAACATCTCCGAGGGGCGGGTGGCCGAGCTCAAGTGCCGCACGCCGTCCATGTCCTCCGTGCGGTGGCTGCTGCCCAACGGGACCGTCTTGAGCCACGCGTCCAACCACCCGCGCATCTCCGTCCTCAACGACGGGACCTTGAACTTCTCACACGTGTTGCTCACGGACACGGGGGTCTACACGTGCATGGTGACAAACGTGGCGGGCAACTCCAACGCCTCGGCCTACCTCAACGTGAGCACGGCCGAGCTCAACACGTCCAACTACAGCTTCTTCACCACCGTCACGGTGGAGACCACGGAGATCTCGCCTGAGGACATGTCCCCCAAGTTCACCAAGCTGGTGCCGACGACGTCCACCGGGTACCAGCCGGCGTACACCACCACCACCACCGTGCTCATCCAGACCACGCGGATGCCCAAGCAGGTGGCGGTGCCCACCTCGGACACCAACGACAAGATGCAGACCAGCCTGGACGAGGTGATGAAGACCACCAAGATCATCATCGGCTGCTTCGTGGCCGTGACCCTCTTGGCGGCTGCCATGTTGATTGTCTTTTACAAACTCCGCAAGAGGCACCAGCAGCGCAGCACCGTGACGGCTGCCAGGACCGTGGAGATCATTCAGGTGGACGAGGACATACCTGCGGCGGCGGCAACGGCGGCTCCGACCGGCGGCGTATCAGGTGAGGGGGCCGTTGTGTTGCCCACCATTCATGACCATATTAACTATAATACCTACAAACCCGCACACGGGGCCCACTGGACAGAAAACAGCCTGGGGAATTCTCTCCAGCCCCCGGTCACCACTATCTCTGAACCTTATATAATACAGACCCACACCAAGGAGAAAGTGCAGGAAACTCAAATATGACTATTTTTTTCGTTTTTTTTTCCCCAGGAATTATTATTATTATTAAAAAAAAAAAGGCAATAGAATGCACAAAACCGAACAAACAAAAGACAGAGCAACTTTTGTACAGAGCTGGGCGGGGAGGGGGAAGAGACTTTTTTTTTTTTTCTTGTATATGCTTATATATTAAATCTATGGGCTGATAAGAGAAGCAGATTCTATTAAAATTTAAAAGACAAAAAAAGAGAAGAGAAACTATTTTCTAACTTGGAAGTTCTATTTAAAAAGATTTTAAAAAGAGAGAGAGAGACAAAGAGAGCGGGGAATATCAATTAAAATCTTTAAGAATCATAATTCATAAAAATCATAATCATGGTTCTTTAAGAATCATCATAATTTTGAAACAAAAAACAAAAAACCAGAGCAAAAGAGCAGGGAAAAGATGCCATCGGGACTTTCTGGAATCTGTTTCAACACCGACGATCACAATAAAAGGAAAGGGGATGGGAGGGGGGATTGTTAATTTTTAGCCGATGCTCTATCGAATGCAGTAAAACCGCCCCGTTTATATAGAGACGGTCTTTCTTAAACCTGGTATTTGCCGATTTCTGTTCTTTAAAGGGGTCAAAAAAGAAAAAAACAACCCAACCAACACGGAAGTGCACCAACCATTTGTACTGTGCCAAAAGGTTACCTACCAATGCAATAAAGGCTCGTTTTTGTTGGGGGGGGCGGGGGGCCGGGAACGGAGCAAGGGAGAAATGATTTAAAAAAAAAATCAAAAAAAAAATCAATGTATTACAGCAAAAAAAACAAAAAAAAAAACAAAAAAAAAACCAATGCAAACCATTGACATGTATCTCGGCGGGGGGGCCTGTGTGTGTCGGCTCCGTGGGCACGCGTGCACATATCCCGACAGGGCTTTTTTACCGAAAGAGCAGCGAGCGAGCGAGCAAGTGGCGTAGCTCTCAGTCAAATGCTTTCACACTGCACCAGATTCCTGCAGTTCGGTTTAACCCGCTGCGTACAGGGACCATGTGTGCGCGCTTTTGACTTTCCCAGGAGGGTAGCGGCCGCGGGAGGGGTGGGGAGGAGAGGCGTGGGCCGGGGCCAGCGAGCTCGAGTACATCAGAGCAGGCGTGTGCCTGTGTGCGTGTGCGATCCGCCGGGCGGGGGCTCTGACACATGATTGTAGACGATGCTCAAATTTTATGGGGGTTTTATTTTTTCCTTCCTTCTCAGAGACCATGTGCGTGGGGGGCATGGGGGGCAGAAAAATGAAGCCTTTTCCCCACCCCGCCACACTTCCCGCTTCTGCAGGGTGCCTATAATAAACCGGAGACCTCTGAGCCAGAGGGAGGGGAGGGGGGAGAGGAAAAAGAAAAAAAAAGCCCACCCCTGAATGGAAATATTCTCCCTCCTCTTTTAGAGAAATGCGGTCGGATCACGCATGGGGGAATCTCAGTATCGACCCAAAGTCTCTCTTGCTTGCAATAGAGACGCCCATCCATCCTAGCAGAGGGAAAAGGCTCTTATTCCTGCCAGATCCACCCTCCTCCCTTAAAGGGAACCAATGAATAAGATGGGGGGGTATTTTTTTTTGGGTGGTAGTGGGGGGGGCATTTCTTTCTGGTCCGTTTTGACGATGTTCAATGCCTTTAGGTTTCTTACTTTAGCTTTAAAACAAAATATTCTTAAAGGGTTCAGCTCTCGAGAGGGGCTTGGGGAAGGAAGGGGAGGCAGGGGCGGGGGGGGGTAAGGGAAGGAAAACCAAGCAAAGTCCATAATAATCTGCCTGTATTCTGAGAGACGAGTGTATTTTTGTATTTTAATAAATATTGTTAACCTTTTTAATGCCAAGATCCCTACCGGGTTGCATTGAACCATGGACTCCAATGGGGTAAAAAAAAAAAAAAAAAGAGACCAATAACCCTGGGCATGAAAATCTATTAGAGGGTTTTCTTTTTCTTTTGTTTTTTTGTTTTTCGGACCCGGGACTGGCCGGAAAAGCCAAGCATCTGGGAGAGGGGAAGGGGGCTGGGACGAGCGCCGCAGGGGTTCACGCAGAACGGAAGTATTTAACCTTTTCTAAGCTGTCAGTAACCATTCCTTGACTTGAATAAAAGCCTCTCAAATGCTAGCACAACGTGGCTGAGTCCCGTATCTTCCTGGGGCACGGCCCTGCACGGGGCCGAGAGGGCTCGCAAGGGGACAGGGAAAGAAATGCAGCCGTCTTGGCAGGATCCGACCCCCTCGGCGGCTTCCCCAGGGCCGTGCAATTAGATCTGGGCTCGGGATCCCCTCGGTGCAGCCCTCGTTCAGAGCAGATTAGCTGCAGCCCTCGATCAGAGGGCATTAGCTGACCTGCCCGTCGGCGTGCTATTTATCCGTCTCCGAAAACGAGGTAACGGTGCGTCCCCAGTGGATGACCCAGGCCTGGATTAGCACGTTGGTGTCAGAGCAAGGAAGGGGGGGGAAGCGTGACATACGGCGTGCACTGGTGCAAGAGAGCGAGCGTGCGTGCAGGGATGCCGGGGGTCACGGGACAGACGGGGGCACAGGGCGAGACTCTCCCCCTTTGCGCTGCGCCTTGGACCGGCGTCTAGGAAGGGGCACAACCCCGTCAAAACCGAGCGAGAGTCTTCCCTCCGCCCCCCACTACATGCACGGCGCAGGGCTGGCACCGGAGACAGGCCGGCCGGCCGGGCGCCCGGGGCTCCCGGGGAAGTTATGCAAGGAACCTCACACGGGGAGGAGGAGGGCGCCGAGCCCCTGGACGGGAGCACTCGTCAGCAGGCGGCACGAGCAGGCAGCCATGTCTCCCGTCCACGAGTCCGTGCCGCCAAAGACCCGGGTGGCAGAGATGTGGGACTGAAACGAAATCCTCCCGGGGACCCCGGGCCATTTTAGAGCCGTCGGCGAGCCAGAGCGAGGCCGGGGAAGGGGGGCTCGTGCTGGTTAGGAGGACGGTCAGGGTGTCAGAGGGAGCCCTGGCCTGGCAAGGTGGCTGCAGGTTGCCAGGGTCTCCTCCGGCCTTGGGGGGAATTCGGCAGCCCCTCTCCCCCAGCTGAACTGCCCCTGCACAGCCCGGGTCTCGGCAGCTCAAGTCTGGCCTCGTAGCAAAAAATTTCCAGGGGACAGAGGTGCGGGGCCAGGCCTGGAGACAGCCCGCCGTGGGGCACGAGCGTGGCGTCAGCAAGTGCGTCTTAGGGCACGGGCAACGCTCGTTAGGCTGCGGCCGCGGCGGGTAGGAGCCAGACCTCCCCCCCACCCCCAAACAAAAGGCAGTGGGGACCTCCCTGCCCTCCGGCCCAAGGCGGGTTCGGGGCTGAAACACGATGCACGGGAGCAGACACACGTGCACGCATGCACCCGTGCATACATGCACCCATGCATGCATACACACACAGAGAAATGCACACGCACGCACCCATGAGCGAGAGAGGCCCTCTCTTTGTGCCAGCCGGTGCCAGCGCTCCATTGTCTGCCGTCCGAGGGAGCCGCTTGACTGTGAATGCGGCGTTCTTTTCCCAGGGCCTCCTGCCAGCCCGACGCGACCCGCGCGCGGGGGCCTGAAAGGCCTGTATTTTGCAGGCCCTTTTCTACGGGGGCTCGGGGCGCCCGCGGGGGGGAGGGAAGAGGGAGGGAGAGCCGGGTGCCGCGCCATTGGGGAAAGCCGGGGGCCGCGTCCCCGGGCAGGTAGAGCCGAGGCAGTTAAGGCGGTGATTTATTGCTTCCCCAGCTGTAAAATATTAATTTGCCATTAAACGCGAGCGAGAGGATAAATATATGAATGAATCACGTCGTGGCGGGTGGCGGGGCACAGCGCGGGCTGCCTCCCTCGCCTGCCACGCCAGCCCGGGGGAAGGGTCACGGGCCGAGGGCAAGGTGCCGGCCGGCTGGGGCCGTGGGGAGCTCCCCCAGCCCCCTATGGTGCCAGGGGCCTGAGGGTCATGGCCTGAGCTGCCCCGGCACCAGGCCACAGAGAGGGCACGAGATTGCTCCACGTGGGATAGGGGAAGTGAAAGGGTCAGGGGTGCCATGCCCGGCCCCGAGAGATGCCCAGAAGCAAGTTTGGGTGGAGGGGGATCTTTCCACGCCGCCTCCCTCAGCATCCACCGCTGCCAGGGTCTGAGCCCCCTCTTCTCAGGGGTCCGGCTCCTCCGGCCAGGCCCCAGCCCGCTGACCGAGATGCCTGCACGGGGCCCAAAAGCTTTGGGCACGGACGTGGGTCCAGGTCACCGAGGCTGCAGTGGTGGGCACGGCTCGGGGGGTCATGGCTTCTCACCGCTTCCCTGCAGCTACTCGGGGCACTGTGTAATTATGGACTTTGGA